ATGGCAAAAGGTCATCGAACAAAATGGAAAATACATTACAGATTAAATTTCGTTCCAAGTAAAAAAAAATTTTTTATTTCATTGAACAAATCGGCAATTACTTAGTTGCCAACCGAATATTATCAATATTTCAACGTGAAACTCAATAAATATAAATTATCTGTCTCGCTTAGGAATTTATTAGCGACAAGCAAATGCTAATCAACGTTGCTGCGGTATAAATCGTAGTGCAAGGTGTTAAAAATAACAAAAATAATTGAGATGCAAACGTTTCGTGCCTCAGCCGATATACTATAATAGCTTTTGTTGCTGTATGTACACTTCGAAAATTACATTTAATCCAACTGTTTGGTAGAAAATGCCTCTATGCGACGTCCCCGAAGAAGTTTTAGCTTTGCAGCAGCGTGGGGTCGCGTCGCTTCTGGGATCGAGAAATTAATTACCGCCTCGAGAGTCGGCTGATCGTGTCTGAGCGATCGAGAGGTTGTCGCGTCGAGCAGATCCCACGGGACGGGAAAGCGTCTGCTTGTCCAAGGGAATCCTCGACGACGTGAAAGTTTGATAAGGCGGGTCGCAGCATGAAAAATGGAATGGGAACAGGAAACGCGAAAAGCGCAACGCAGTCCACTTGGGAACTGTGCCTTGTTCTCTCTCTCTCTCTCCCCCTCTGTGTTCTCGATGCCTTTCTTCCTCGTATTTCAATCGGGTCTAACAAGCCAGCTGTGCGTGACCCGTCTGCGTGCGTAATTCCACCGGGAGACAAAGAGGAACGCCACAGAACTGAGAAACAGAGAAAGAAAGCTGGCCAGCGGATCGATAGGGACAGCTTGCTGTGACGTTGCCGAAGAAACCACACACGTATTGCACATATTAGCCGGTGTATCTAGACACAGTGGTAGCCCTGTAAGAACAGGGAGCTTCCTCGCGGGGCGATCATTCAATTTTATCGCCCCCTGTAACCTTCCACGGGGAACGTCTTTAGGGCTCGTTACAGGAGCCACCGGCTTTTCTGCTTCCGCGAGAAGGCTAGACAAATTACCCTGCGCGACACTGTCGACCATTTTCAAGACACTTTAGCCCCTTCGTTGTGGAAAGCCTCTGGGAACACGGGAGACAGTCTTAACACAGATTTCATTACTATTTAATCCTTTTATTTTGTACACTGAATTCCCACTATTCGCCGCCTCTGCCATTTCGATGGTCAGTTTGAAGGGGTATTCTAGGGAATTTTTTGCAGTGAAATTGACGAGGTTTAGCTGTACGTGTTTCAACGACGTTCTAAAATTTGTTGGAACAAACAAAAATTACAATTAGTGGCCAAGAGTATGCAGCGCCGCTAATTGTAATTTGTAACATTTAATTTGTATCATAGTCGCTTTTGAAAAAAAGTCGTATCATTGTGTCCATGATTTCGGCTATTCTTCTTGTTTGAAATGAAAAAACGCGGAAGTTCCTTGATTAGTATGAATTTGACTATGGCAGGTACTAGAACAAAAGAAACAAAAATTGGTAATTAGAAAAATGGCGACACTTTGGAATTCGATTGTCGATTTTTGCGTGTTCTGTTATACTTCGGCGGCCTAAAATGTAAAAAAAATAAACATTTTTGGTTGATTCCAGTACGGGCCAGTATGTCTTTAAAGTTTAAGTTAAAGGTAGTTTGCAGCTTCATTTACCTTTTCACTTCATCTAAATATCTTAACTCTAATCTTACCGAGCTCTAAAACTGAGTAATGTATGTTGTTTTATAAAGCTGACAAAACCGAACTTAATGAGACGAGTTATTCAATCGAACTTACTCGATCATTTTCTATCAAAGAGTTTTTGTAATTTCAGCCACTTAAAAAGAAAAAATGTGAAACCGTTCATTTTGACCGGCTTGGTTGTGTACAGCAAATTCTCCCTAATTGATCCTCAGCTTGTACGCGGAAATGGACAATGTGGGAAGAGGAGATACGATTATTCGAGCCTTGCGACTCGTTTTTATAGTTACAGGTTGTCAACAACTATAAAAACAAGCCGCAAGGCTCGATTAACGCTAGATTTACGGATCACAAAAAATAACTGCTTTATATTAGTTTATAAGAGTAATAATAAGATATTTATTCTGATTTTTAACAAGTGGTATTGTAACATAAATTGAATGAATAGCTCTTAAATGTATCTTATTCATTCAATTTGACGGATTTTACGGATCAATTTTACGGATCACAAAAAATAGCTGCTTTATATTAGTTTATAAAAGTAACAATAAGACATTTATTCTGATCTTTAACAAGTGTTATTGTAACATGAATTGAACGAATAACTCATAAATGTATCTTTACGATATGAATAATCGTGAATTAAAAAATTACCCGTCATTTTGACGGGTTCGATAAATCTAATGTTAATCGTATCTCCTCTTTCCAAATTGTTCATTTTTGTTTCCACGCTGTGCGTCAATTAGGGAGAACCTACTATATCCTTTATCCAAAAAGAAAATTGATTTGTTCAAAAGTTCACACTAGAACGCCCCCTTAAATTCGATTTAGCCGCGGCAGCACCTCTTGATTATTTTTATAATCCTAAACTCGAATCTCCGAATTGCCCGTTATCGAAACACGCTGCTCGTGTAACATAGATCGATCTAAGATTTATCGTACACAACAGCGAAGATTAAATCTGGCAACCGCAACAAAGTAACCGTTGATCTGACACTCGTGTTTCATCAATTCGGATAACCGTGTTTCTACTCCGCTTCTGTTAGGCTGCAGAAGAGATTCAAGCAAAAGCCCCGGCGCGGGCGGGCTTTTGATTATGAAACCACGCATAAAGTCTCCGATTGATTTTCTCGCGTTGAATCACCACTTTCTCTCTTTCCACGAGCTCCGCCCATTGTGTCTCGCGATTACATAATGATCGGTCGTCACTACTGCTTTGTCCAGGCTTTCGCAAGCTTCCCTACTCGAAATTTTCCCCGATTCCTCGCGGAATAAATAGACCGGGGATAAAAAGAGAAGCGTGTCTCGGCTCGCGTTGTTTTCGTCGGTGCTTTCGGAATCTGATCGCGGACCGCGCGGCGCGGCGCTCGCTGGCGTTCCTGGTCGATGACGTTCGTCGATCTTTGGGATTCAGGTGGCCGGTGGCACTGTTCGACACTGTTGGCACGCTTCTGCACGATTACGTTGCCACGGTCTTTTCCATCGGTTGCGCAAGCACAGTGCCTGCGTCCGAATCGGGCCGATCAAACGCTGATCAAACGCTGATCGGTCGCTTCTGTTTCTGGCCGCTTTTGATCTTCGTCCGCGGGACACGGTGTCCTTTAACTGAGCCCCTTTGGACCCGTTCCAGGGTATCTTGACTCGTAAACACGCCACGCCGGCTAATTAGTTGCGCTCGCGGTGTCGCCCTTGCCCTCGCCCTCGCTCTCGCCGACATCGACGTCGACGTCGCGTCTCTGTCGCCGTCACCGTCGTCGTTGTTAATCGTGTTCCCGTGGCTACGGGCTTCCGTGACCTTGATGCTGGCCACAAACACCGCGAGGAAGCTTTGTACAAGCGATCGCGAGCCTCGTGTCTAGAAACAAACCAGAAAGTCTCTCTTTCTCTCTCTCTCTTTCTCTCTCTCTCTCTCTCGCTCTTTGTTTCGATCTAATCGCCATTTACTTTCTCTCCTAGCAGACCTTGGTCCTAATCGTGTGACTTTGAGTCTCGCGGATTTTATGCTCGATTAAGCTCAGCAGTCTCCTTGTTTGGGGCTGCTTTTGTCTCGAGTGGGGTTCGGACCGTGTAGGTCAGGTATCGAACCACGTGTATCTTGATCCTTCTTTTTTTTCCCCTGTGCAAGCGAACTGAAACCATTTGTTGCCAGTGTTTCGTGGAACGTTGAGGAAGGAACAGAGTGTGCTTGTAGAGAATTTTGTGTAGCGTTGTGCTTTCTGTGTCGAGTGAACTGTGTCTGTGTTGGAAGCGTTATTTTTTGATGTTCCAGTAGTCTTGCTACCGGAGCGTAGCAAGTATTATACGTTCGGTAGACGTCCCCGTAGCATCCCGGATCAAACTAAGTCGTCGATTAAAAGATCGGAGCCACGATTTAATCGGATCACCCGTAGGAAACTGTTCACCGAATCCGTTTCTGTTCGCATGCCTCGCTTGCCGCGATCTCGCGTCGACTCGATGTTTCCGCTTGAATAAAAGAATCGCACGCATCCTCGGGACCGGTGCGAATGTGATCACAAAGTTTCGAATTAATCCGCGCAACAGTCTCTCCGAGGCAAACATTCTCGGAGTTCGCCGAATTCCACCGTGTTTGGAAGTGTTTCTTTAAGAAAAAAAGTTCGCAACCGGCGGCGATTTTCTTTTCGAAAACTCGATACGTCGAACTTCGATCGGAGAATGTTGGCCGTCGTCGAGTTTCCATCTCGGAACTGTGTCGTTTTGTCGGGACACCAGGGTCAAGAGTTGCGACACGCGTCGCGATAACACCCGATGATCGAGCGGCCGCGGATCCTCGGATCAACGAAGCGGCGCAATCGCGTTACCCCACTTAGCAATTTTACGCGGCTTCTGCAACAATCTTCGAGTTTACGGTTGCATTACCATGAACGCCGGTCGGGATAAATATTTGGATCGAATCCAGATGCGTTTTATAGGGAAGTCGGCCGCGGTTTTATGCCGTTCGGTTCTTTTTCATCGCCTCGCGTCCGACTAGCGTGCGCTCGCAACGTTCGGAACGTTCTCCGGTCTAACAGTCGTTCGGCAAACGACGGTTCCGAGTATTTATCGGCTCGCAGGTATTTTCGTTCCGTTTAACGCGACCAATAAGAGCCGCGTTCTTTTCTGCTCGCCTACGATATTCTGCTCTTGTTCCCTTCGGAAGATTCGCCACAGAAAAGCGATTGTTCAAATTTCGAACGAATTTCGGTTGAATTTCGATCGAATTTCGGTTAAATTTCGATCGAATATCGGTCGAATCTCGGTCGAATCCTGCTAACCGGAGCTCCGAACTTTCTGTTCCAGGCACCAAGTTCTTGTGCAGCGAGGTGATAGCGTTAATCAGGAGCGAGGTGGACGACATCTGCTTGCAAATCATAAACTTCGAGGACCTGAGCTCGCAGCCGCCCCCGCAGCCTGCGATCCCGTCCCCAAGTCAGACCAACAACAGGCTCGTCACACGCTGTAAGCAGCAATTTTTATCGTGCTTCTGTTTCTCTCTGTTCTCTTTCTTGTACCGCGGCGATGCTAATTGTTGTTGGTTGCATGTCATCGTCTCGTTGTCGTCGTCGTCGTCGTCGTCGTTTTCATTGTTGTTTTCGTTGTCGTCGTCGTCGTCGTCGTCGTTTCGTTTCGTTCGAATGTGAATGCAGCAACGACTGCGACGACGCGGCGGCTGAACCCTGGAACATTAGGGGAAAGATACTGTCCCTAGCTCGCCTCCGTTTGCCCTATTTATTCTCGTAGACATATTCTGCATTCTCTGTGTGTTTTTTTTTCTTCTCTCTGCACGCTTCGCTTTCGTTGTGCAACGTCGAGGACACTAGGTCACGTAGTTAAGTGTTAACGCTGGGTGTGTCTGTAGGAGCGTGCTTGAAACACACTGCGACCTTCCTTGCCAGTGCTACTGATGCACGAAAGGTGCTTGTCAAAATTACCACCGGAACGCTTTTTGTCCGGCAGAATGGAACTCACTGAATCCTTCGTGTCGCCTTGCTAATGAAATGTCCACGAATATATCCGTGGAACCGACGCCGACACCCTTCCCCTCTCACACTTTCTCACTCTGTCTTTTTCTCTTTTTCTCTCTCTTTCTCTCTCTTTCTCTTTCTCTCGTCGCAGGGCACCACGGGATTCGAGCATTTCGATCGTTGATATCCGATTCGGAAGACCGCCGAGAAAATGTTCAAGAATTAATGATCGTTTAAGAATTGAAAATCATCCGAGACGTCGGCGCGTTAACCGCTCGAAATTTGTTAGAAAATGTGAACGCGTGTTTCGGACAGTCTCTTCGTATCGAGCGGAGGGAAACTTCGCCGCGAGAACTTGTTGTCGCGAGAAGTTTGCTAATTGAGGAAACGGAGATAGTCTTCTAAGTTGTGTAGTGTCATGAAGTCAAGATTGTTCGGTTATTGTCGCGACGAAGGGAATTAGAGTTGTTTCGTTTTGTACTTCGAGGCGTGCGCTCGTTTCCTCTTTCTCCTTGTTTTCTTTTCTTTTTCAGCGGGCCGCTCTTATTTACGAGATTAAACAAGGGATGCAAATGTCGGCGTTGAAACGCGGCCCGCCCCGGCAATTTTTCCGTGGCAAGTGTGCTTCGAGTGCAATCTCGCAAGCACCCTTGACATAATAAAACGAGTCGAAACTAATTAAAATAATTAACTACCTAACGCCGGGATTTAAATGACTCGCAGCGCTCGCCGGGACGCGGCGTTCAGAGGACCCGATGAATAGTTTCCGGAAACTCGGAGCGGAACTAATCACCGCCTCTATCAGACGGATTTCAATTACCGATCCGTCGAACCTCGATAATATTGTTCTCGTGGCCCGTGGCTACTTGGGAAAGCATCGCTGTTAACGCTTCACACTTTTTGCCCAAGAGCGTTTACAACCGCTTCGACATCCCCAGACATCGAAACGTTTAGTTTTTATCGCTGCATCTCACGCGCAAATTGCACGCTGCACCAGAGAAGTACGATCTTTACTCTCGTACACGTTTATCATCACTTTTTGCCGCTTACATCGATCAAAGCGTTCTACCCTTTGCACTCGAGCACTCGAAGGAAAACAAAGAGAGCCTCGATCTAAGCTCCGACTTCGATCGAAACTTCGTTGTTGGCTCGAGACATTAATAACTTTTTAAATACACCTCGAGCTATCGTCGGGCGATTAACTTTTTCGCGATCTCTGAACGCGTTTTACTTCTTCCTGACTTTCGGGAAAATCGTTGGAACCGTTTGGCAATTTTGCATAATGCATTTCGGCGATACTTTTGCTTAATACTTAATCCACCGAAAGCCTATTAATAGATCTTTCAACGATTTTGCTGTACTAAAAGGAAACGTAAAATTCTGGTTTTACATGATAATCTCAAACGACATTATTAGTTTATGCTATTGGGGATGAGAGACTGGTTGGTATAAGAAATTCGTATTCCCGTCCAACAGTTAATTAAAATGTTGTTAAATGCGAATCGTCGATTCTAAAAAATTATGAAATTTTCGCAACTTTTTAATAAGTCAGACTCGTTATGAACATTTCGCATACAGTCTACAAAATATGAATGTTAGTGAAATTCGAATGAAATCCAATTTGTTCTGTCGCAGAGATCCGGCAATTTTAATGGACGTAGATACGCGATGAATATTAATTTTCCACTTCGCGTAGGAAAGTTCTCAAACTGCAAAGTTAATGTTGACTGTAATAATTACAAGCTTGATTTTACGGTGGCTGATCAAGTTGTTAATGTCACTTGCATAAATTAACTTGTAATGGACATGCAGAATATGTCCGCGAACAAGCGTTCAACTAAACATAGCCAGATAATATTGGGTTGGCAACTAAGTAATTGCCGATTTCAGTTATAGATATCTCTCACTCCCATTTTTATGATATCCGTAAATGTTATATTATAAAATTATTATTGTTATTATTATTATTATTATTATTATGTTATTTTTTATTATCCGTGAATGTTAGCAACTGGACAAATTGAATGCAGCGGTCAAGGAAAAGCGACCAGAATTGGTCAATCGTAAAGGTGTCATTTTCCACCAGGACAATGCT